ACAGGGGGAAGGGAAGCACATTACCCTTTTTTCTAACCAATAAATAAGATTCCTTTCCAGAGTCCACACATCAAAGAATATTTCAGTCTAAACTTCTTTTCAAATTTGGTGGAAGGGAAATGATAGAATGTTAGTTAGTGGAAATGTGCTGCCATTATAGCATGCATATTTATATTAATGAAAAAGCTTTAACCATTGCTTTTTAAATACTTGAGCAAAGGTAGTTTGTAACACTTATACTGTCAAATTTATTTTAATAGAAGCATTTAGGAGATTTGACCCATACCTATCACGAACAGAGGTATAGTACAAAACATGCTACAAGGATTTAGGGATCGCATCGTGCCTTTTGGTCTTACAGACCATATGTGTGTGTGCTCACGTGTGTGAGAGAGAGTGCCTATAAATTATGTAAGTAGCCGGCAGAATAATCTGCAATCTGTACATGGAATATAGTCTGTTTTCATTGTTTCCTATAGAGGAGAAGGACTGCTGAAAACTACCCAGGATTTATTTCATCAAGCAGAGGTAATATATTATTTTTATATAAATATATATATAGGAATTAGGAACTCTGAACGAAGAACAAATTGGATCTTTAACTCTTCAGTCCCTTACACATAAGTACAGCATATCACAAATGAACTAGTAATTGTCGTTTTTAAGCAGCAGAACTCTGGTGTATACTTCTTGAAAGCTAACATTCTAGTGTTCAGATAGTAGCTTAATTAAGACACCATTCTTTAAACTTTGACAGATTCCAGTTAGGAGTGGTAATGCCAAACTGAATGTCTGTTACGGCATATATAGATGGACTTCAAGGCATTAGGCGTCTCCATTTTGTTACTTAGCTCAGTCTGTTATGGTTTAATGGATACTCTATCCTACTCCGAGCAGCAGTATCCTTATGAGAAAGGAAGACATAAGAATTTGAACAATACAAACCAAGAGGTCAAATAAGGGAACGTAGTGTGACATTTTAAGATACGTGCATATGTTTAACAGGAGACTGGTTACCATTGTCAGGACAATACAAAAACATGGCAAGTGTCTTCCACCCATAAAACTTTTGTGAACTGCTCCATTACAAAAAATAACTGGAAAACATTTTTTAATGTAAAGTGAAAGCCTTTAAATTCGCTTATATGGGAGAATGGCAGCTGTAGTGTAGCTTGGTATTTCAGAAGTCACTGTGAAATGTTGACTTGTTAATTATAAATGTATACAGCTATTGCAAATATTTCCTGCTACTCTTTTACTTTATAATATACCACTTATTAAAAGAACAATGAAAAGAAAAAGTCTAATCTTTAATTGTGGTTAATTTTGTTACACTCCTTTTCCTCCATTCAGATTTTTGCTACAGAGGGCACAAAACTTGCTTCAGCTTTTCATGCCTTTTCTGATCAGGTAATGTATGACTACTCAAATAGTTATTCCTTATGACTGTCACCTGAGGTCCATCACCTTATGACTAATGATAATGGAGAGACAACACAACCAGCTTTTAAGCATTAACTTGTAATTGGAGTCTTTAACACTAAGCAGATCTGTCTTCTTGAAACACGTTTTAGCTACATGACGATGGTAAACCATTGCTTCTGTTGGAAACTGAAAAACTGATCCCTATGTGCCAGCAGCTTCAGATTACAGCTAAAGCTTCTGTTCAGGGTAAAAGTGCTACATTTACAAAGGTAAGATTAAAAAAAAAAAAAATCACAAAAACAAGACCTGACCTATTTTGAAATCTAATGACCTACTGATTTCTATTCCTGTTATGAAACAATTTGTGATAACACAATGTCTTGGGGTGACAGAAGACCATTTAAAAAAAAAAAAAAAAAAAGCAAATGCAAAATTTTATGCTGCTATGCAGTGTTTGTTTTCTGCTATGCAATATCTCATTGTTGCTGTTCCTTATGTAGAAGAGAAAGTTAGTTCAACTTGTGTCCTTTCTGAAATACGATTTACACTTCAAAATGTTTTGAGAAGCTGATATGCCAAGTATTGTAGACACAGAAGAGTAAGAACTGTTCCTGTTGACGAAAATATGTTTTGTCTATTGGGAAATTCCTCATTTGTATCTGTGACCCAAGCAATTTATTGCACTATCTTGTCCTGGAGAAAAAAGTTCTTCAGCAGAGGTGTATTCTTTTCTTGGTTCTATTTTTTGTTGTAGTACCACTGGACTTATTTTTTTCCTGTTAGTAGAGAAGGGCTTCAGTGAAGTTTATTCTGCCTCCCTCATGCTTGGTCATGCTGAGATTTTGACAGGAGGAAAAAAATATGATGCACTGTCACTTAGCGTACATGGAAACCTGCCAGGGGATAACTTGTATAGTGTTACTTTACAGGTTTATATGAATGTTTTCTTTAGGGAGCACGGATGGTCTGAGTTTGTATAACTAGCCCTGTGGCCAAAGACGTATCATTAATATTGATGAAATGCTTATATTTTAAGGAGGAGTTTCCCCACCTCATAGCTTACCAACTTGAAAGTCCAAGAATCAGTATAACAATTAATAAAGTTTTTCTTTGCTATTGCTAAAAACATTGAGGATTAGCACTTGGGTTCTGGATTTCAGCGTTAGTGAGAGAGTATACAGAAACGTTTCCTTAGCTGCTCTTGAAGGTGGAAAGGTGTCTGTAGGCTTCCTCTATTTTATATTGCTTTTAATTCCTGAGAACTTCTGTCAAAGAATGTAAGTCAACATCTCCTTCGACTTACTTACCCATTAGATGAAAAGCGCTACTGGAATTTTATCATGCTGCAACTGAGAATTCTCAGCTGAATAATATCAGATGGTATTTATCTTACTATAATCCACTAGAACTTTATTCAGTGAAATTTGAACTATAATTAAGTGCACCCCAGTGACGAAGGAAGGACTTTACTGCTGAAAGTATTAATTAAGGTAATTTATAATACCACCACTGTAATAATTTTTATTCTATTGTTATTAATGCTTAACATAAGCAGAATACATCCCAAATGCCAGAGACCCTACTACTGAAATATGTGCTTGCTTCTTGGAAGGTAGAGAGTCTGTTCTAGACTGTCCAGAGTTTACTTGTAAAAAATATGAGTAATATCAGAATAAAGATGTATATAACTGCCACTTACAGCTGCACTCTTTCACGGAACTAAATGGGAACTCCCATCTGTTTATAGCCACATAGTGGTAAAAGACTAGCAAATTGCAATTAATGTTTCTGGAGGGCCCAATCTTGTAACCTATACTGAGAGTTGGGGTTTAAACTCAAAAGTCTTTAACTCTTAGCTAGCTTTTATTGTAACTGATGTCGAGGTAAGGCTTACATCTATAAACTCATTAGCAGTATTAGTTAGTTCTTCTGGGATGTGTGTCATGCTCGTCCACTTCCCAGCTTGAGTCTTGTGTCAACAGAAGGGAGGCTGTTGCTTTAGTGTACTATATAGAGAAATTCAAAAACACTAGGCAAAACCTCAGTTAAAGGAGAAATACTTATGAAGGACAAATATTACCCATTCAAACTTGAAATAGATTATCATCATCTATCTCATCTATTAAACAACTGCCTAACAAAAGTAATCAGTGGTGTTGTTCTACTGTAATGTCTTTTTAGGCTGATACATGCATTCAGAAAACAAGGAATGTGATGACTCTGTTATGCCAACTTCTTCCCCTTTGCTGCAGATTACTGAGAAAAGTGAGTTGATTCATGTGCACAACACTAAATAGATTTAAAAAGTCATCTTATTTTAAAAAGTAATAATCTCTGTTCTCTTACAGAACAAAGCAGGAAACGGCTGTCTTAAACCTGCTCCACCGTGGAGAGAGAATAGAGTACGAACTGGTACAAATGCACATTACACAGAAAGGACAGCTGAAATGTTTGGCATCAAGTCTTTAGAAAATCACATAACAAATATGACATTTTTAGAGAGCGAGTAATTACAGCACTTAGAAATGCATAAAACTCCATTTGAAAGTAACACTTTCCGAAGTTTCAGTATCGCTTTCTTTTATAGAAAGTCAAACCAGGTTAATCTGAATTAAAAATGTTGACCTTTGTCACATCTAATATGTGTCCTGTTACTTAACAATTACACCACCAGTCGGTCTGTTATGTATTTTTATAATGTGAATGCATTTCCGATGCTCACTATTGATACTGGTTTTGTAATTAATGCTTATGAATGTCTTAATGGATGTTTCAACCCAAAGATGCTGCTAATAGACATTTTACATAAAGAACCTTGCGCTGAATATGCTATATGTAACACTACTGCTGAAGTTTGTAAACTCATCTCTGGCCTATTTCAGTCTATGTATGATAAAACATGATCAGGAAAACAGTCTGAAAGGCTGTGGCCTAAAGTACTGAAATATTTCTTAGCTATGAGTTATACCTGCAGTGAAGTAGTCTAGGGAAAAAAAAAATTCTTTCAATATCTGCAATGTTGAATTTTAATCTCATTGACATAATTCATGTTCCCAAAAGTATATTTCCAAGTGATTAATACTCTCAATTCAAAACCTTTTTCCTTATACCATCTTTAGTTGTAGGTCTTTATGATTAAAACTGATGGAGCAGAATTTGAATTGCATGTAGAACTAATGAAGTAGTAGTAGACTTTACGTTATATCATTTAGAATTTAAAAAATGGATACTGATAATGACAAACTTCTGTACAAAGGGCATTATTTGACTTCAGGATGCTATGAAAATATAACCTGGTGTGAAATACTTATTTTCAAGTTTATCTGCTCTTTGTACACAGGCTCCTGTTACACTTTATCTTCAGGTCACCTTTGTCATACTCCATGTAATATTAGTTAAGGTAAATTAAGTGACAGCTAAATCATGGGGTTTTCCTGTATGTATTCTGCTTGCACTGAGCAGAAACAAAGAAACCTGTGGAACATAAATACTCCAACATACTATTCTATGCTAATTTAAAAACTTGTAATACTAGAAGTGAGAGAGAAAAAGAAAGCAAGTTTTAATATACAAACTATTTGAAACATTTTATTCTTGTGTGAAACAAGTGTTTAAATTCCACTTTTAAAAATAGACACTAGGCCTTTCAATATAATGGAAGTTATAGTGTACAATACAAGTCATTCATTTATTATCAAATACAGATGATACCTGCATACTTAATTTCATGAAGAAGAATTAAGACGTTTCAATAAAACTTCTTCATACTCCTTCTGCGTCAGAAGTCCTTGAGTTATACTCTTGCTTTCTTCAAATTTGGGCAGAACGACTGCTATGTATCCCTCAGTTGATGGCTAAAACGTAAGACTAAAGTTAGTAGTGAAATAAAAATTAGAATATAAAAAGCATGAAAGTGTCTTACCTTTTCTTGCAGAATAGCTGGATTATTAAGAATGTTTTCATTCACTTCTATCAGTCGCCCTCGTATACAACTGTGAAAGCATTTAGATTCAGTAGGAGTGCACACTATGTCAAAGTAAGAAGAAAATGGAGGAAAATTCTTACCTATAGATGGTGTATTCTTCTCCATCTGAGGAGGATATCCTGCACAGAGGGGCAAGTTCTGTTAAAAACTGAGCTCCCTGCATTTGAAAAAAGTTACTTTGAGTTAAATAGGGCTTTTTAAAGTGTTACCATCAGCAATATAAGAAATTTGTAAGCTTCCGAACAAAGGAGGGAATCTGAATAGGTATAGGTCATTGCAAGTTACATAGTTACACTTCCCAAGGGAAGATGACAGCTTAGTTACCTGCACAAATCAACTAGGAGCGCTTATAAAGAGTTTACAAATCTAGTCATAACTTTCTTGTGGAGTAACAGCTTTGTAGTTTAATCAGATTGAAATCAGCAAGTAGAAGAGAAAAATATAACACAGTTGAACTTAATAAAATGAGTTTTAACTAGGCATATTTGAAGACCCATCCTTAACTAGTCCATCTGCTAAGTGTGTTTTTCTAGGTATCTTTTACAAAAAAAGATGACTATCCGAATCCTTGCTGCTTTGTCAGAAACAAGTTATCGATTAAGGGATGTTCACGTCCTTCTGTATGCTATGAAGAAATGACTAAAAGCAGCATTCGGCCTTGGTTTGAGAAGCACTGGAAACCACCAGTGTTGTATGAGCGCTATCAATCACACCTTGCTTGCAACAGTCAAACACAACACTTTACATGGTCTAAATTCTTAACTGTGGAGGAGCTGTATTAAAATGCAAAGGTAACTTAGTAAGTTTCTATCCTAGAAAGGACAGAAAGGCTCAGGCAGTCTGAGAGGTTAATATGAAAACTGGCCATACCCTTTTTGACTTCCCAGAGACCTTATTTTGAAGTCTGCTACAGTTGGCACTGATTTGGTAATTAATGCTTTTAATTTTTTTTCCATTTTGAAGAAGAGGATGGGCTTCTGCCAAGGTGATGACACAAATTCTGCAACAAGAGTTATAATTATTATACTGAATTTGTGAAAAGTCATGCTCTAATGTGCTCCAAGATGCCATCAAGCTCCACAACTTTCTTTGCCTTTACTGGTAGGACTTTTTTGTATACCAGCTTCAATATAACAGTATTTGTTAGCTTATGGATCGCTCCCTCTTATCAAAAGGCTAAAACATTTGTCCTAACCAATACATTTACGTTTTCAGGTAAATAAGTTAAAAAAAAAAAAAAAAAGATACTGACTACTAGAATTTTAGACTATAAGCCCAAATGAAGTAAGGTTTTCATTGTTGGCTGCCCAGTCTTCCACAATATTCTTCCCCCTATAGTTTAGTAAGAAAGTATAGTTCAACTTACTGCAGCAGGAGTCACAGAATATGCGCATAGGCCTAGTGAGACAGCAGGAACAGCCAGGTCTGGGTGATAGCACAGGCGTTGAGTAGGGTAATCTTAAAAAAACAATTTACCTGAGCTCATGATGAAAAACTGATGATAATTACTGATGGCAGCTGAGTGACAAATTTTCTTTTCCTACTTTTAAAAATTTCACTCTATTAATGATAATCAATCAATCAGACTCATTTTCCTCAGGGCAGCTCACTTGAAGAGTTTGCTGTACCAAATGTAGTTGAAAACTGAACTTTGACTTAAAGCAATCCACAGCGAAGATAAATAAATCTCTTTATTTTTGAAATACTAGACTGGAGCATCAAAAAAACAGCAGACTACTTAGTTAAACAAAACCACAGCTTTTAAACAGGAGTCAAAAGCAAGCACGCTTCCTAAGATAGCACTGTGTTACCCAATGGGCGCATACTCAATGTACCTATGTTGTGATCGCTGAAGCAGATGTTCACACAGTCCTTTTGATGGAAAAGTCTGTAATAATCACATAATGTTTCTCAAAATAGTTAAGGGTGAACATAAGGGCTATTAGGGGTGAATAGTTAAGGCAGATGAATGCTACTGTGATCTGGGCATCAGCTAACCTGTTGTTTGTATTTCATGTTTTTCTAAAGATAGGTTATTTATTTCTTGTCACAAAACTGCAGAATTTAAAACAAGTCCAACCTGTAAAGATCAGGCTAGCTCCACCACTGTTTTAGAACCAGGCTTAATGCACAATAATGTACTGCTTAGAACTTGCCAATAAATGAACAGATATAAAATTATGCTTCTGTTCAAGAACAGTTTAAAATAAAAACTGAGGACCAGAATTATGTGTTAACAGAAGGCTAACTGCAATGAAAACAATTGCACAGAATCTGATCTTTCCCTTTAGATGCTGAATAGTTTTGATCTTCTTACATTGTCAGATCTGTCCTGCACATCTGTAACCTGCAGGTACTCCATAACTCCATGCAAGAGAGCTGGAGTCTGGTGTATACTTTCAGCATGCCTCATGTGCCACTATCAGCTTTCTGGAGAAAAGCATAGCAGCTTAAGGCAAGATAGCAGTGAAGCTACCGCCTCTTGATTCCAGCCTCTTCTTTTCCTAAGATGATGATGGTTTGGGGCTGTCATCTAATCATTACACCTGAGGCCTGGTAATATATAATTCAGAGAAGAATTTTGCATCACTTACTTACTTAGAAATATCAAACTGAGCCATAGCTCCATGCATAGCTGTGGTAAGCAAAATATTTTTACAGCGCTCAGCTAAGCTGCTAAAGAAGCCAAGGGCCCTGCTATTTCAGAATTCCAAGTAACAGTATCACCTTTACCTACAGATATTTGAACAAATGTTTCTATTTTTTTTAATTTCCTTTTCCCCCCATGAACAAGATCTGAATCGTAGTTAACCTTTCCATCTCTATGCTCCGAGTTAAGAGATTGATACACTTGTACATGATAGTCTGGGAGCTAGTTTATTCAGTGGAGTCTCCAAAAGAGACTCACATCTTTCAAAGCAAGGAAGGATGTTGGGAACAAGAATACAAACAGTGTCTTGAGAATAAGAATTATGTCTGCCATGGCTAGAAACTAATATGCAATAGTTTAATATAAAAATATTTGTATTTGCCAGTTAGGCGACCAGGACTAATAACTGCATGTTTAGTATTTAGCATAAACATGAGGGTGTCCTTTCTTGTCCTGGTTGTCATACCTGTTACTCTCACAGTAGATATACTAAATAGGTACTCCAGTTTTGGTTTCCAAAACACTAGAAAATGAAACAGCAATATAGAAGGTTCTGAAAGCTTCAGCAGAGATGGCTCCAAACTAATATCAAGTACTTTCTCACTGTTTTTTGAATCCTTAATAAAAGCAGATAAGCCACAGGCCAACAGCAAACACCTCTCTCTAACCTTGCCTCAAAAACATAGGCGATTTGAAGAAAGATATGCTGCCTCTTTCTGTAGCAGACAGTAGTTAGTCTCTGGCAGAACATGTTAGAAACACTTAAGTTGCCATCGAGCCACAATGCAATTAGAACACACTTGAGCAGTGGGGCAGGAGCTGGGGATGTAAGGTATTTTATTAACAGAGCAAACAAGGTACAGTGTCAATGATTTATTCCAAATGACTCCATTGTAGCTGATCCAGCTACGTCACAAAATAAAAGCAACAGTTACGAGTGTACGAAATTTCATTTCCTAATCTTGCATTCACTGTCTATAGCACATGAAAACACAAAAGCACAATTAAAAGCAATTTAGATATATCAAATAGAAAAGGCTAATTGTTTGCTTGAATTAAGCTGATTGATTTCCCAGAATCAAGGTAAATAGAGTGCTTCTAAATATCATTACTGAAAAGACTTTTGAAAAAATTACTCTTCTAATATTGAAGATACTTTAAGGACCATTTCAGGAACAGAGGTTACATGGGCTCAACAGCAGCACTGCAGGGCTCTAACAAATAGCTCCATTTTTTTGAAGTGTATGAATCTGTTGAGCTGCTCAAAAGAGGAAAACAATTCAAGGTCCACTGTTCTTATTGGAGTAGTAATTAAAGAGGGATAGAGGAACCGTAAGAGTTCTGTCACTTCTATTCTACAGAAAAATCCAGGATCACCTGATATTTTCCACCTGTCCCACATAAGAGGTTTCTGAAGTGTTGTGCCTCTTAGTTTAAGATATCACAAAAGCAAGCAAATAAACAACAGTAGTAATCGCTGCTGTCCTGTAAATGCAAGGAAAAAAGGTGAGGAGAGTTGGATGTCTCCTTGTACAAAACATTTCACTACATTGCATGCATAGGTAAAATGGAAAGACCTGGTTGGTCAAACATATTCTAAGAAAGCATCATCAATTATTTCTCAAAAAAGAACTACTCTTATTCTTGTCAAAGCTGTTTCATTAGGAATAAATAATGAAAACCTGTTCCTGGGGAAGAGAGCAGAGCCTACCTCTGCCAAAAGCCCCAGGGACCAGGTGGTAGCTGTTTCCTGCTCTTCCCTTCATGCTCAATACACCTCAAGCTGTTTTAAGCAGTAGTATTTGGGCATTAAAAGACACAGATGAATACCCTGTCCAGAACAGCTGACATCAGGGTGAATGGATGGGCAATGTTAACATCAGTGTCCTTGGTCAGAATATACAGAACCAAACCAAGTTCTAGACAGGTGCTCTAGCCCCTGAACTGCTCTAGAGAAGGGGACATAATGTCACTTCACCCAATTTAAAAAAAAAAAAAAATTGTAGGTCTTAGTTGCTCACAGATGCCTATCGTCAAGAGAGGGCTAATACAGCATGCCTGAATTGCCAAGTGAAACCTATTGATAGTACTGCAAAAGCCCTCCAGGAGCCGGACGGGGCAAAATCATGCACTCAGCGGATGTCGCGTTTCCCGGCAGCCGCTTAGCTGAGCAACCAAGCAGAGGGCCACCTCAGGGACGCGGGTGCCACGCCGGGCAGCTACTCGCACTGCGGCGGTCCAACTCCGCAGCACTGCTAGGAGCGGCCGGCGCAAGGCACCCTTACG